GATATGCCTCTTTTGTTTTCTTAGGGGGCCTTTGGGAATGAAATTCGCGGCCACAGACTGGTAAGTATATGTCCGCATCGACCACACCGGACATCAAACCTTCCATGACACAGGGGTAGATATATGCTTGGCTTCATCCAGCTTCTCCCGCACTTTATCATACAGCTTTTCCCGCAATAACTGCACAGCATAGAATATAGATATCTTCACCGCCAAGATTTGCCAAGATTGCCAATTGTGGTAGTTTTCGTCAATACAAAGTTGATGCCGAGTCTGGTGACGTCCGCATTATCAGTGCACTTGCATCTGATATCATAGGCCGGACTGTCTTCTCTCAATTGAATACTCTGCGATGTTGCCCAGAGTCCTCAAGAGGGTTGTGAATCAGTGCTCCTAAAAATAAATGATACTTGGGTTAAAAGTTGAGTCTAATCTTATCGGTTGATGAAAAAACGGGCTTGGCGGTCGACAGCTTCAGTTCCTGAGCCCTGATATAAGGCACAAGTGCGTGTCCTGCCAATGGGAGTCAAAAACCTCCCAACCATGAAGCCCCCCACTCAGCTGGATAATCTCTTGCAGTACACCGCTTTTGCTGCTAACATTGTTAGAGGAATTGCGCGCTCATTCGAGATTCCCTTCCTTGGCTCAGCTGCTGTACTGGTCTTGGCAATTTTGAAATGTGTTGAGGTGAGTGTACAGCAGACCGCAACAAAAGTGTGGGACTAATCGGACTAGTCTATCAAATCAAACAAGGATGTGTGCATCGAAATCGTGGAGCAGATTCATGAAGTATTGGGTACCATTGTGACACTACACTCAACTTCCGAAATCAAAGGGGTGTTCCCAACTGCACTTTTGGATGATATTGCAAAGTTCACCGAGTATGTGAAATTACAATCCATCTTCCTGACCTGGCGCACTAACACTCCACTCTAGAATTCTCGAGAAGGTCTTTACACTTCTGAAACAGCAGAACAGTATGGGAAAGATTAAGCAATTTTTTGAGCAACGCAGTAATTCTGAAAGATTGGAGGCATGCCAGCAGGAACTCAATCATGCCCTGGAGATGTTCAAGGTACATCTCATCTGCTTCATATTATTTTATTTCAGTGCATATTTAAGTGATTTCAGGTTCAAGCTACCGGTTTGACCATATCTCAGCTAGTGCAAATGAGAAAAGATGCAAAGCAATGTCATGAAGAGCTTGTGGCCCTCTTGGAATCTGACTCTGATCTCACCAGTAGTCAATGTTCCTCAGTGAGTTGCTATATGTATCTTGTGGAAAGTGGTCTCAGTTCATGTCTCTCAGGTGATAGGCACTCTGCCGGATGTGGGCAATAGGTCAGTCACTGGAAGTGGGCAGCACATTCTCACTGACAATTACTTTTTATCAACAGCACTAGATCATTCTCTATGCTACCACCATCTCCAAAGATCTTCCATGGTCGGGACTCAGAGCTCAACACTGTGGTCACAATTCTACTGCAGGATTCTGCTCACATTGCCATCCTAGGTACAGGAGGCATGGGGAAGACCACCCTTGCGATAGCCGCAGTTCATAATGCTCAAGTGGAATCCAAATATTCACAGAGATATTTTGTCTCCTGCCAGTCCGCCCCGACATGTCTGGAGCTTGTGTCAACTATTGCAGATCATCTTGGTGTGGAAAAACAGTCAAATTTGTCAAGAACAGTCATCCACTATTTCACACATGCCCCACCATCTCTTCTCGTGCTGGACAATCTTGAAACTCCCTGGGAGCCTAGCAATTCCAGATCTGAAGTGGAGGAATTTATGTCTCTCCTGACTGATATTCCCCAGTTGGCACTTATGGTGGGTCTGACATTAGATGACCAGAGTGGGAACTTATTATACCACTTTTAGATCACAATGCGAGGAGCCGAGCGACCAGCAAAAATCAAGTGGACTCAACCATTCCTGCCCCCCCTCACTCCACTTTCCCACTCTGCTGCTCTTCAGACATTTTTTGATGTTGCAGACGACACTCATGAAGAAGACAGTGTCAATCAACTTCTGGAGCTCACTGGAAATCTTCCCCTTGCTGTCAGCCTCATTGCCAGTGTCGCTGGAGCTGAAGGGTGTGACAGTACTCTTGCTCGATGGAAAACTGAAAGTACATGCATGCTTTCAGATGGATATGACAAAAGGTCTAGTCTGGACATCTCAATTATGCTGTCCTTCACAAGCTCCCGCATGACACCAGGAGCTCAGGACCTGCTCAGCATTCTGTCAATGCTTCCAGATGGATTCACACATGCTGACCTGCTACAAGCCGAACTACCTATCACAGACATCCTTGCAAGCAAGACCACCCTGCTCAGGACGGCCCTTGCATTTGTGGATAAAGAAAACCGAATCCAAGTCCTTGCTCCGATCCGAGAGCACATCATCCATGCCCACCCTCCCACAAATGTATTGAAGTTGAAACTCCGCAAGCACTTTCACGATCTCCTTCATCTCTGGACACATCACCGGGATCTCAATGCAGCAAAAATAATGCCACAGCTTTCGAGGAATATCGGCAATATGACGAGTGTTCTTCAAGATTCTCTTGCCGCAGGGTGTTCTGACGCTAACCAGAACTACCGGAGCATTGTCAATCTAAATGACTTCCAGAAAAAGACACAGAACACCTATTCACCACTGCTGTGGAAAATATCTGATCAACATTCCTTTTGGAAAGACAAACCAATGTTTGGGGACTACCTGATTCAGATTCTCTCAACTGCTTTATATGTGCCTCTTGCCGACGCTGAAGCAAAAATCATGCAGGGGAATAAATATTTTGAATTCAAGCATCCATTGGAACAAGGTAAGCCATACTCTGTGGCTTGTGTTACTTTGACCTCATTTTTCACCAGCTGAATGGTCTTATGCCCTTGGAGCATATCAGACTTATGCCCAGTGTGATATGTTCAGTGGTCTTGCATATTTTCAAAAAGCCCTTGCTTCGGCAGACAGTACTGGATCACCCAGTACGGTTGGGCAAAAGGCCCTGTGTGTGATATCCCAGCTGATGTCCATGTCAGGAAATCTCCACGGTGCACTGAAACATGCAATGAGAGCACAAGAGTATGCAGTGGCTCTAGGTGGCATCTATCTACAAGCACAGTCCCTGCACTCCCAAGTTAACTGTCATCTTATGTCTACAAACTTTTCCAAAGCTCAAATGCTTGTCAAAGAAGCCATAGTGCTCCTCATTTCTTGCGGTCTAGAAGGTTGTCGACTGGATTTACACCTCCAAAATTTGGCTGCTGAGATTCATCTCCTTAAAACAGAATATCATGAGTCGCGTGACATTCAGATCTCCACTGTAGCCACATGCAAATCAACAACATATGCGTCAATTCTATCAAACTTGAATATTGCTCTCATTGACATCGCTTGTGGAACAGACTCTGGACTCATTACAGAAAATCTGGGTCAATGTCAGCTACACAGCAGGTCATTATATGGGTTGTTAAAAGCCCACATAGAACCTGTAATAGATCACCGATTGGCAGAGCTTTGTCTCAGAGATGGCAACCTTAACACTGCCAATGTGACATTCACAAGATGTTTTGCTAGGTCACTAGAGTTTTCCATTGAAACAGCCATTGCTTGCCTGGAAAGACTTGCAGACCTTTCTACCGGAATGAACAACATACAAACCACCATTGGTTGGGCAGGGATATTTCTTGTACTAGCCTTGAGACACAATAACAAGCTGGCTATGATGAAGGCATTCCGATGTCTTGGCCATATTTTTGCTGTGCAAGGGGATGATGAAACAGCACTCAGCTTGTTCAACATGGCTTTGGATGGATTCACATTCATGGATGTCCATCAGTGGAGGGCTGACTGCATGGTTCAAATTGCTGATATCTGGAACAGTCGTGGAGAAATTGTGAGGGCAGTTGGTTTATGGAAGGCAGCGAGGCCCTTGATTGAAAGGTCCTCTCAGGCCAAGGATGTTGCTCGGGTTGATGCAAAACTAGCCACAGTTGAGACTTCAATTTTGGAGCATCATGAAGGACAGCTTCTGTAACTTGCAGAGCTGGATCTTCTAGCTGAGGTTTTGACAGTAATAAATCATGAAAAAGATCAAGAACTTGTGGATGCAGAACAGAATAGCCTTTAAATTGCAGTGTGATTTTCATGACATGCTTTCTACCCCAAATCTCATTTATCATACATACTTTCAATCCCCCCTGCCATTCAACCGGCAATTCTCACATATATTGTGCCGTTCAACCGGCCGTTGTACCATATATACATTGAAGTCCCATGTGTTTTTACCACTATGTGCTTGCTCTCTGCGCACCTTAGCATGTTGATTGGTACTGTCATACTGAGGATCTGAATATATCGCTACTCTACTTTTAGCCAAGTTGCCCCGTTGCACCTCAAGCTTGGAAGTCCCTCTTGAGTGGCCGTACAGTCAGAGGTTACTTGAGGGCCTCAGGACAGGCATCTTGCAGGATCATACAAACTTGGGAAGTCAATTCAATGAGAAGCGGTAAATATACACAACACAGGAAATATTCGGTATTTGAGTGTCTCCAGTGAGTCCTATAGCGAGGGCGTTTGATTCCTTTGTTGAGAATGATACGAGTTGGTTGTTGATTAGAACCGGCAGACGGCTCTTCGAGACACACAAAATAATTGGGGGCAAGATACGTAGTGATTAATTAATTCTACCTAAGATACAAGACTGCTTAAATACTAGCTAGGTGAGTCATAAGGAGTCATAGAATGTCTGTGAGGAGAACATAGTAGAATAGTTTAGAACATACGGGGATGTCCGAGTTGCCCGATGCCCGAGGCGCAGTACTTCCGGGCTGTGCTTCAACATCCTTAGCTGACAAGTGTCTCAAAATAAATGAGTTTGCTTAGGCCACTACTCTTGTATCAATGGGGAGCTGGGTGCACCCTGCTGGGGGGTGAAGTGCACCCAAGGAAATTCGCGGCAAACAGAAGAAAGGAAAAGGGAAGTGCTATGGCTCAGGCCCGAGTCGAACAGGCACCTTCTGCATTAATTAAGGACAAAGGACGAACAAACTGACAGCAGATGCAGACACGCTCCCAGCGCTACCGAGCCTTGTACCACCTATTTAGTCCTTCGATAAACCACCTCACATTTCAGTTCTAATTTTATATTCTGGGAGATTCAACCCAGGCTTCAACCAGTGATACCTCCGGTAGGAAGGTAAATATATTCTTACCCCACCAGATTTTTTTGGAACTCAAACTTCCTGCTGGGGGGGGGGTGCGGCCAAGGAAATTCACACCAACCAAATAAAAAGGGAATCAGCGAAAGTGCTATGGCTCAGACCCGAGTTGAACGGGCACCTTCTGCATTACAGAATCATGGACCATGCAGCAGAGGCAGACGCGCTCCCAGCGCTACCGAGTCTTGTAGCCCACAATTGGTCTTTGTTTAAACCAGTCACACATTTCAGCTCTGATTATATGTTTCGGGAGATTCAACCCACCGCTCGACCTGTGCCCGGGCTTGGGAAGTGCTTATCCCTGCCTCACCAGATTTTTTTCGCCCTTCCTGCTGGTTGGTGAAGTTGCAGCCAGGGAGAGATATTTGCGGCATCAAAAAAAAAGACCTTTAAAATAAAATAAAAAGATAGCAAGTCACCGGAGATATGGCTCAGACCCGAGTCGAACGGGCACATTCTGCATTACACTACAGTTCATTGCATCACGAAGATGAACGGAATGCAGACAGGCTCCCCGGCGCCACCGAGCCCTATCCTACATAATTAGTCTTCGGATAAACCACCACGAAATTTCGCGGGTGATGTGAGATTCCGAACTTCAACCCATTAAACCTCTTCAGCGCCGTTACACCCTGGTTCATCCCAGGCGCCTAATTAGGCGCGGCAAATGTTCATATCTCTGCCACATGAACGCTTATTCCTATTGTCCGTCGAAGGGAAGGATAATCACAGCACAAAAAAAATGAAACCAGCGCAGAACCAATGGAATGGCTCAGACCCGAGTCGAACGGGCATCTTCTGCATTACGATGAAAAGCTCGCGATAACAGATGTCGATGCGCTCCCCAGCGCCACCGAGCCTTATTCCACATAATTGGTCCTCAGATAACCAGCACGAAATTTTGCGGTCATAGAGCAGCCATTAAATTCAACCCGTTCAACCAACCCGTTCCCGGGCCTGCGAAGTGCTCATTTTTACGTCTACCCCACCAGATTCTCTTTACCTTCCTGCTGGTTGGTGAGGTGCAACCAAGGATGATGGATATTCATGACACCAAAACAAGACCTTTAAAATAAATAAAAAAGATGCAAGTATGGCTCAGGCCCGAGTGGAACGGGCTCCTTCTACATTTGTATCGACTGTCGCACTCATAGCTTTGTAACGCGCTCTCCAGCGCCACCGAGCCTTATTCCACACAATTGGTCCTTGTATAAACCAGTTCAAGTTCAGCGCTCAACTCTGATTCTATATTCAGATTCGGAAATTCAACCCACTGTTCAACCTTTGATTCCGCAGGCGCGGAAGCAAATATCCCAACCCCACCAGCGCGTATTTTTTCGGTTGAGCAACGCTGGACCGGGAGGATATATATTCACGGTGCCAAGCAAAGGCAAAAAAAACCCAAGGTTTACGGAAATGGCTCAGGCTCGAGTTGAACGGGCAACTTTTGCATTACTCAAGTTGATCCTCCCACAGCAGATGCACATGCGCTCCCAAGCGCCACCGAGCCCTATCCTAAAGAATTAGTCCTCGGACAAACCACCACGAAATTTCGCGGGTGATGTGAGATTCCGAATTTCAACCCATTATACCTCTTTGGCGCCGCTACTCCCTGGTTCATCCCAGGCGCCTAAGTAGGCGCGGTAAATGCTCATATCTTTGCGACATGAACACTTATTCCTATTATCCGTCCAAGGGAGGCATAATCAGTGATTCAGAGCACAAAAAAACGAAACCAACGCAGAACCAATGGAATGGCTCAGACCCGAGTCGAACGGGCATCTTCTGCATTACATTGAAGCACTCGCCATAACCGATGCGGATGCGCTCCCCAGCGCTACCGACCCATATCCCACCTAATTCGTCTTTGGATAACCTAACACGAAATTTCGCCGGTGATGCGAGATTCTGAAATTCAACCAAAAATCTACGATTTAACTTCAAGTCAGATCTTATTTGCCAGCGAGATTAGTATTCGGGCAAAGTGAGCATTAAACAATTCCTTCACCGCCGAATATCTGACAACCTCCACATGAATTTTCCGGGCCAAAACAAAGAAGAGGAAAAAAGGACAACCTCAATAAACGTATGGCTCAGGCCCGAGTCAAACGGGCTCCTTCTACATTGCAAGGCTTGACTGACAAAGCAGATGCAGACGCGCTCCCCAGCGCTACCGAGCCTTATCCCAAATAATTGGTCCATGAATAAAGCACCACGAAATTCCGAAATTCAACCAATATCCCGTGATTGTCTCCAAGTCCCATTTTCTTGCCATTTCACATTTAAATTGAGACTAGTATTCAGACAAAGCCGCCATTCAACAAGAGCGCACCGCCGAAGCATCCCGACAACGCCACATGAATTGGTCGGGTAAAAAAAAATGTTCCTCACGACTGAAGCATGGCTCGGGCCTGAGTCGAACGGGCACCTTCTGCAGCATACCTTCTCTTCGGTCGACGAAGCAAATGCAGACGCGCTCCTCAGCGCCACCAAGCCTTATCCCAAATAATTGGTCCATGAATAAAGCAACACGAAATTCCGAAATTCAGCCACTATCCCACAAGTCAACTCCAGGTTAACTCCAAGTCCCTGATCTCTTTTGCCATTGAGATTGATATTCAGACAAAGCGGGCATTCAACAACAACGCATCGAAACAACATCAACTTTCAATCTTTTTGGGGCCAAAAACTGAGCCCCGTCTGCGTTCAAGCAAATGCAAGAAGGTCCGTGCGGGGGAAGGTCGGAGTTGAAACACTTCTTGATTCTCACCGCCATCCGCTTCCCTTCCTAGCACCCCCTTCCGTCTCCCCTCCCATCTACGTCTCCAACTTGTCTCTTTATTGCTTCCCTTGGGAATCGAACCCCTATGCCACTACTAGTAGCACATTTCAAGCTGGTTTTTTTTTCACCGATAAAAAACACAAGCCCAATTCTGGCTCCTCTCTTCGGAAAATTCCCATCGCAGTTGGGGAAAATAGGAGATTACGAACAATGTGCTTTCATTTCACGCGGTACTGGTGAGCGAAGATTGTCTCAGAATGCAAATCCTGTTACCGAACGGCGTGAACGTAATCTGAGGTCAATTCAAGCCGACCGAGGGGGCTAAGCCAGCCATCGGATCCCCGGGAACCTTGGAATTTGTGGAAGAGGATAGAGTGGGATTCTCGTTAACGATAGCGGTGATCGTGAGGAGGTGCGCGCGATTATTCGGGAGTTGAAGAAGGCGAGTAAATTCTTATTCGACAGCACCCTGCTAAGTGGCTCGTAATCCTGAATAGGTACATCCCTATGAGGAGGTTGCTTACGACGTGTAAAAAGCTGAAGATATCTGATCGTTTTCTCCACAATCGCACAGCTGGGTGCATTTTTCTTTGGGATCTAATGCACTGAGAGGAAAGATAGCTTTACACAATGGTAGACAGTGACAAAAGCGAAATTTAGACGGAGGGGAGGGGTATTGAATGGTTGGTTTCCTTCCGCAAATGAAGAAACACCTATGTGAATTCCACTTTGATTACACTGTTTTTAATGAGCAAGTGAGGCACATGGCCTAAAGGGCAAATGAATTGGCAGTAGGCATTCATTGGGCAATAGGCATTCGCGCCATCAATAGGCATTCACGAATGCCTATGCTACTAAAGTTGTATGTACTCGCTCCGAAGAGAAGTCCTGGTTGCTGTCGATTACCTGCAGAGAGAAAATTAGTACGGATATACATCAAACATCGAACAGGCGTACGACGTCCGAATGATGGAACCCTATATACGCAAAATCAGCTCTTTGGACGGGGAGAGACTCGAAAAAACACCGCACGAAGGCCGCACCGGTCTGTGACACCACTCTCGAACTCCAGCGTCACCCGCGTGCCGCCGCGCGTCCCCGTGTTCGCACCCGTCGACACGCCTGTGCTGGAGGCAGACTCTGAACGGCGGAAGTTGAGATTCGAGAGCTACGGGTCAAATTACCCTCCCCGAGCTAAGACTAATCTCCGTGAGGAACGAACCATGGTGAGAACGTAGATGTGGCCGATGCAGAACCCAATACCGGCGGTGACTGAGCGATACCCGGGATGAGCTAGAGCTGAGCCGTCAGCTTGGAAAACGCACCATTACTCTCGTTGTTCGACAGATAACTGCATTGTAGTTCCGTAATTTTCATTAATCTCAGAAATTGGTGGTACCCACACCATCAGAGATATGACCGCAATCGTCGCGCTCACTGTGCCGGTCTGGATCGCCCGCGCGGCCAGGCGATTGAGCAGACTGTCATGGCCACCGCCCCGTGGTCAGCTGTACCCAAAAACAGTGTGCGCGCGCACCTTCGTGTCTCCTTAAAAACCGTTTTGACCTTCCTGAACTCCCAGAGGAGCGCCGCCGCAATGAGGAGGTCCGCCGCGGCCTGAGTCGCCACCCAAATCCTGAAAAGCATCCGAGGGAATAAATGGTGAATCCTAGACGGGTCCCGTTTACGCGAGTGCGACGCACGTTCCAGGGATCTTGACTTTCGCGCGGTCCTTAACCGCGGGAAACCACGCGACCACCACGCCGGTTGAGAGTGTGCCCCCACACTGCGCAGGAGGATCATTAGCAGGAAGCGATGGGCGAGATAAACGCGTGCATACTGCGGCAATGATCAAAAGGCCCAGGAAAAGGGTGACGATTATGTTTTTCGTGCTGGAAATTCGCAGGATTGAACGATTATTTACAGCGAACGCGGCGGGGCAGCACGCACAGCCGCCAGTATCGCTCGAGCAGAAAGCTTTGGACCAGGACAGCCACTATGGCGGTAGCACAGAGGTACAGTGGCATGGGCTGACAAGCGTCAGTTGGCACATCGAGTTGAAATATATGCGGTCAAAGTGACCTACCC